ATTTTAAATACACTTAGTCATTGAGGGCTAACAGGAGGGACTATGCGCTTACCTGCTGCTCCTTGGCAGGTAGCTCCATGCCCTCCTGGGTTTTAATTGCACCTTAGATCACATATGCATCAACACTACAATGAGCGGGTGGAGGGAGGTTTGGAGTCTTCTCCCACCCCCATTCTCTGCGGCCTGCTGGAGCGGGAGGGCTAGTAGGAGGAGTTGGCCGTCCGGCTGCGGTCTGGGGTGTGGGGCCTCCCTGCTGCTGCGGAGTCGTGGTGGTCTGCCTATAACTGGTGGTTGGTGGAGCCTGCACCATAGCACTGTAAACTTAGCATGTGAGTCGGTGTGTAGAATAACGAAGAATGCGTTACTGTCGCACTGTGCTCTCTCCATCACAGATCAGTCATGAACCACAGATAGGCTACCACACTCGCGTACTGGTTCTGATCAAGGTGCTTCACAATATAGGCCACCCCTACAAGAGTGACGTGCAGAGGCGCAGCTTCACACGGTTGGGAGAAGCGGACCACGGTTCATGGTTTCTCGTGCACCTCTAGCGGAGTGCTGCACCTCTTGCGAAAATGCGGTATACAGTGCGTTCTTATAATGTCTCCACATCGTACGCTACGTGTCGAGGCGAGTAAGTGTAATGACCGATAGTTCGTAGAACTCAGTCGAGCACAGTGGCATCTCATTCGCCCCAACTGGTTGTAGATCCGCCGGTGGATGAGAAGCACAGTCAGGTGTTCTGAATTGGACCGTGGTTGTGAGTACTGATCTCCACTGTGAGCATGGAGTGCCGTATATGTCTCGTTGTCTCTTACCTATGCAGGTTGGGTATCAACTCACACTTTCGTCTGGTGTGGAGCATCTCAGCCTAATCAAAGCTTGCTCGCGCAGCTATCGTCCCCTGACCACTCGCGACGCAGCTTCCCCTGCCTCGTGCTAGGTCTTGTGACTCTCCGTGCTCATGGACCAGGAATAGTCCGGTGTGCTCGTGATATGCACAATGCAGATCAGTGTGATCTAAGGTGACAAAAGGAAAGTACACCAAGTTCCCACATGGCTACTGCCGTCGTTAACTTCTCCGGGTAAAACACCGGCTCGACTGGCACGCTTCTGTATGCGAGTACACTACAGCTCACGCTGAATAATAAAACTGAACTGCTATGCCGTGCTACCCATGTCCGGTGGCGGACTCCCTCAGGTGTCGGTGTGCTGGTGGTTCCTTGTGTCTGGGGGTGGGCGTCCGGGTACACACCGGCTCACTCCTTGGCGGCCGCTTGTCGGGGCCTGGGGCCTGGGGCTCGCTCGGGCCCCCTTTGGAGGTGGGGTGCCCCCGGCCTCTCGGCCTGGGGCTCGGTCACTCAGGCACAGCTGGGGGCCGGCGGAGCTCACGGGCGCGTCACTGCAACTCCCCCTGGCTTCTGCTCCGCGGCTGCTGGGCGAGCCCTCATCTGGGACTCTCCTCAGCTCTTACTGGAACAGTGGCGCGGCTGCCCCTCTGTTGGTCTTCCGTGGTCTCTTGTGTTCTGGGGACCTCTGGATGTCTGGAGTTTTGATCTCCTCCATACCCGCTTCACACCCTGGAGGACGGGGCTGTGGCCCCCCCACACTCCCTAGCAGATCATTACATGGAGAAACCTTTGGAATGCAAGCATGCTGATCCACACAGGTATGCACACAGGTGTAGACATGGGTATTCACAGACGCGGACTAAAGCTTTCTTGGCTGCTGCCTCAAAGCACACTGTGCGCTGTCTATCTTGCGTGCTGCACAATATCGTTTATTATTCAGTAACTATTGATATCTATGACTAGCTAGTTTATTGTGGAATGCAAGCATGCTGATCCACACAGGTATGCACACAGGTGTACACATGGGTATTCACAGACGCGGACTAAAGCTTTCTTGGCTGCTGCCTCAAAGCACACTGTGCGCTGTCTATCTTGCGTGCTGCACAATATCGTTTATTATTCAGTAACTATTGATATCTATGACTAGCTAGTTTATTGTGATGGTGCTTTGTTTTCTCTATTATTATGTTGCTCTTTGTTGTTTGCTGTCTCCTCTGTTTGTTTTTTTTGTTGTTTGTTTGTTTTTGTTTTGTTTTTTTCTCCATACAGGTGACCCAGGAGTTGTTGTTTTTTTTTTTTTTTTTTTTCCCCCCCCTTCTCACCGTCTCTTCTCCCCTTTGGTTTTCTTTCTTTCTCTCCCCCTCTTTCTCTCATTCATTCCCCCTGTCCTATTTCTTAAAAAAAAAAAAAAAAAAAAAAAAAAAAAAAAAAAAAATGACAAAGGATGAACTGAAGCTCTGCCATCACGTAATGTCGCATACTGCTGTTTCTGATGTCATTTAAGAAAAAAAAAAAAAAAAAAAAAAAAAAAAAAAAAAAAACATGCAAAAGCTTAATTAATTTAATACCTGTTCAAATTAATGTTGAGACTAAAACCTGTGGGAATAAGGCTTATTTGCTCCCACTACCAGCGTGCGTAAGGAAAACTGAGATTTTGTGATAGAGATTAAGAGAAGCTAGGTCTGATAAGATCTACCTAGTGAATTTTGATGCAGATTCTTTATTCAGATCGACCTTCTTCTATATTCATCTATAGATGATTAGTACATGATCATAGTTTTATTTTCATGTTATACTCTCACTACTCCCAAGCGCCGACCTATAGTAACAATTATAATTGATCAGTGTAGCACATCGCCATCATATTCTAAACTGAATTCATGCATTATCTCTGACTTACTAGTTGTTACAGTCTATTCAGTAGGCCGGAGATGTTTCAGCATTTGCTGGAGTAATAAAATAGCAAAATTGCTTTGGAGTGTAGCGAAGTGACCTTAATCTTAGCTTGTACCTCATCGAGTCTTTTTAGATCCCTCCATGTGGCATTGGATAATAAATCTTTGGTTCCTGCTATTGATGTGTATATACATGTACTTTCTTATATCCAGGTTATTGCCAGATCAAGGCCGTTGTGAAATCATAGGTAGCACCGACTTATGCATTCTTGTCTACGAATTGCTACTACTCATTACCTATTCATTTTAGCTCGTAGAACCCTGTGAACGAACGCTCTCGCTTCGATGCAGCTACGACAGACATATCTGGAGTATTGCCATTTGTCAGAAGATGATGGTGGGCATTATGTGTCATTGATCTTACGCACAGCAGACTGCAAGTTACAACAGTCAGACACTATGCTGCAACATATGCTCTATTCACTGCATAGAGGAGTTTTAAGGTTGAGGTCGGGGTTGGATTGAAATCGAGAGACACTAGTATGACACTTTATATATCTCAAAACACATAGAAAACTCAAAGAATGAGTGTGATACGAAGTTGATGATGGAAGTACTTTTATGAAGCTCTTTGTCATAATAAAAAAACATTATTAGACGTCTGTTATCAGTGTTTGTCGTAACAATAGATCTCTCATTCTGATTCACAGACATCTGGAGCAGCTACTTTAGCAAGGCTGCTGACTGTACTTGAACAATCTATGCAGCGAGCTGATGCTTCATGTGCGCATGGCTTGACTTGTTACTCATTAGACCGAAGTTATGTTACTCTTCATATAGGTAGACTCATCATGGAGTAGCACTGCGGTCATATTTAGTAGTATGTGAGTATTTTCTTAATTCAGCATCTTTGTAGCTCTCAGCGATGTCTACAGAAAGAATGTATTCATTTACTCAAGAATGATAGCAGGGGTATGGACCAATACTTCTATTGAATGGAATCACTACCTTATGTTGTTGCCGATCGTCTTCTCAAGAAGAACTCTCAGCACTGATCCCTTGTGCTTTGCAATTCTGTTAGAGGAACTTCCAAGATTTAATATAGTCATAGTCGCTATATGTACACCACTCGACTGGTGAGTAATGAAAGCTACATAACTTAGATTTAGTCGATTAAAAATGGTTTTACTTTTGTCAAGTGTTTTTGAATTTTAAGTCGACTCATATTAGATCAAATTGCTCTCTTGAATTTTAAACACTCCATTATAGTTTTATATCTTGGATTTTTTCTACAGTTTGACAACATAAGGTTTCTAGGATAAAGTTCTTATTCATATATTTTTCTTTTATTTTTATATAGATCTATATACATTAAGATTTCTCATCAGTCTGTATTTCTTTCGTTGGATGCATTTTCTTTGATAATTACTGTGTCTAACCTCTTTTAAAGTCTGCGTCTGTCCAACACGCGAGGGCTGATGTGTAATTTGGACACAACAGGAATCATGGCAGCGTTAAACTAAACGCTTTGTTAGTGTTTCTCCCGTCCTGCTGATCATAAGCAGACGTCTGTAAGCTCATCAAAAGGTAAACTTGTGAAAAGGATTACGTTAAACGACTGTTAGAGACTCAAAGACAAACTGATCATTTGTATTGAACACACTGATTAATCACTCAGTGAATCTGCATTCATGTGTTCAGGGAGATGAGCTGAGAGCAGAGGTGTGTGCTGTCACTGAGGGTGGTGCGAACCACGTCACAGGAACACAGCGAGGCATGAGGATCAGAATGATTCCTATTCAAATGCAGTCATTTCAGGACGTTTGACACTCTGCAACAACAACACCTGCAAACATCTGCTGCCTAAGATTTAGCTGTAAATATCCTGAATAAGCATGAAGTTAACACGACGACAACATCAAGGACGCAAGTTTCCCTGTCTCAGAGCTCTGTACAACACCGTGTCCTAAAACATCTGGGACAATACTGTGACTTTTTCTGCTAGGTGTGCTAGCCCTGTGTGCAGAAACAGCTGTGGAGCACCATTGTTGGAGGCTACTTTCTGACTTCGGGCAGGACGGACGATGCCGAGCTGTAAAACCTGACCTGTACCTGAGCTTTGCTTTTGTGCTCTAACGTCTCTTTTTAATGAACTCTTGTGCTCCTCCCACAGACCTGATGCTGCTAACAGCGACAGCTTCATGTCATGAACTAAAACGCTTCATTGAAGATGAGATGAAAATGTGTCTCTCACCTGTGTGAAGAACGGCTCGTAGATCTCCACCCCAGAGTCTGAGCCCTGCGACAGCACCTCCCTGCCTCTCCTCCAGGTGTAGTGGACAGGAGGGTTGGAGTTTGCTACGCAGCGCAGGAAGACTGTCCGCTCAAAGTAGAACTGCTCCTTTGCTTCACCCACACTCTGATGTATCGTTATCACTGGGTCATCCAGGTCTGAGAGAGGTGGAGGAATCAGAGGGAGAGGGGGACGAATCATAGGGAGAGGTGGAGGAGAGGGGGAGGAATGATAGTGAGAGGGGGAGGAGAGGGGGAGGAATGATAGTGAGAGTAGGAGGGGTGGAGGAATCATAGGGAGAGGAGAAGGAGGGG